TTCCGGACGATCGAGGAACGATCGAGGCTGTCGTTATCTCAAATGGCACGAATCGGCCAGATCCCATCCAGCACCGCTCGGCAAACTTACGCAGGCCGTTCTCTCAAACTTCTTTGCTGTTTGCTCGGGCAAGCTCCGTCGAGGTCCGCGCTAGTCATTTCAACTTGGCCGCCGTGGTGTCTGGTGCAGTCGCTGGCACAGCTTTGAAAAGAGTAATCGTATGGCGCGGCCGCGTGCTGAGCGAGGCATGGACGCTTCTTTCGGGGAGCTCGAGGGAGTACGCGCCCAAGGCCGCACCTTTGTGTCATCTAATTTCCCTTTCGCGCTTTCATTTTGTCTAACGAGCGCAGCGGAGAGAGAGAGAGAGAGAGAGAGAGAGAGAGAGAGAGAGAGAGAGCGACGAGCTCCCCTTAGTCCGTTCTGCGTTACGCCAGCTACTTCGTGTTATTCGCGCTTCTGTTCCTAAAATCGCACGTGCATAGCTCTCTCTCTCTCTCTCTCTAATGCTCGTAACATTGCGGTTGTGTCCTCGATGACGATCACAGTTCTCGTTTCAATTGCAAGCAGAGAGGGAGCAAGGCAAAAAATCACTCGTTTTTGCAAAGCTCTCAGCAGCAACAGCTGCGAGAAGCATAAGGTCGAGGCGTTCTAACGATGGCGAAAAGTAGCGTCGGCTAGAGGCAGAGCGACAGACACATGCGCGGTGTAGCTGGTGTGCGGGTGTCAAAGGTAGACAATCGGCAGCAGGCAGGCGGGCAGGCAGGCAGGCAGGCAGGCAGGCAGACAAAGCCGTCGACGAAGGTATTATACAGGAAGGGCTGAGGCGTATGCGAGAGAGACAGAGGGAGGGGGCTGGTGTAGGGGGCGCACGCGCAGTCGTCTGCTGGAGGGGGGAGAGCTCCGAGCACTGCGAGCCGGCGGCGTGTGTGAGTCAGTTTGGAGCTGAGTCGCGCGGCGGACGTTGTTGCTCGACGCGGGAAGCGAGAGCGAAAGAGAGAGAGAGAGAGAAAGAGAGCAAGAGCGTTCGTTCTCTCGTCATACGCGAGTTACGTAAGTGCGGCATGCAGCTCGTTCGCCTCTCTCGGCTCGAAGGAGCTGCAGCCTAAAAATACGCGCGGCCGGCAGTCGCGGCGCTGCGACCGCTGCCGCCAGTGGCGACGGCAGTGACGAGAACACTGGCTCGCGCGATGCTCGGCAGGACAGGGACGCAGTAGCAGCCGCTGTCGAAGGAGCCGCGAGCCGATCGCATCGCCGGGCGGCGGCGGCGGCGGACGGGCAAGAGCGCGGCGCCAGCCACTGGCAGCTCGCTGGAAGGAGGCCGCAAGGTGGAGGGCGGGAAGGCCGGCGAGCTCGGCGGCGGGGTTGCCCGCTTTATCAAGCGCAGCGTCGAGGGCCCGATCGGCCGAGTCGCCGCCCGCGTCTGGGCCGCAGGCCCGAAATGCCCCGAGCCTACCTCAGACTCGCCGACTACGGGGCCCCGGACCCCGGCGGCCTGCGGTCCCGCGGTGCGCGCCGCTGCCAAGCCCCGCAAGTTCGCCGCTAACGTGCCGCTGCTCAAGCCCAGCAAGGTTCGCCACTTGATCTCTCCTCCTCTTACGCGTGGCGGCCGTCGGCGCGTCTTCCGATTTCTCGGCTGGCTCGCTGCGCCGGGCGAGCTCGGGCGGCGAGGGGCGGCTGCAGCCGCGGGCCTCGGCGCGGCAGCTGCGGCCTGGCGCGCGCGCGCGCCGAGGGGGCGCAGGGGCCGCCGAGTCGACGCGTCGCGGGACGGGAGCTACCGAGGCCGCGCCGCGCGCGCTCGGAGTCGACGTTCGCCGTCTCTTGCCAGCCCCGGTTGTGCCCCGACTATCGAATGGACCAAGTCCGAAAGAACGAGTATCGAACGGCACGCGGTCTTTCGTACGAGTGTCGCTTGCTGACTCGAGTCACGAAACGCAAACCCGGCCTAATTGCTTGCCATTGCAAATGGTACATATCCGATCGAGGTAGAGTAAGGCAGCCGGGTGCGCCGGAGGAATGCTTGATTCGCGGCGGAAGCCAAAGGCAAAACCGGCGCTCTCTTTCGTTGCGCGACCGAGCGGGCAGCCCGCGAAAGTCAGGGCGGTGGCGGACGCCGGCAGAAAGATTGAATTACGCAGGGGCCGGCGGACAAAGGCTGCGTGCTCGCGACAGCGACGGACGCGGGAAAGTCGCGGGAAAGTCGCGCGCAAGATGCGCGGTGCGCGGTATTCGGAGGGTCCTGGACGTGATTGGAGGCATACGCCGAGCGGCTGGGCAAGCGAAGAGGAAGGGCCGACGAAGCCTCGGGAGTCCATCGCACGGGCCCGGCGGTAAGCTAAACAAGCTAGTTGAGAGGCGCGTCACGTTTGCCGAGTAGCCGGACGGACGCAAGTAGCAGCAGCGGAGCGCGCGCGGACACGTGTAATCCGGTTGGCACTTGGCAGGCCGTCACATCGGCGCTCGCGGGCAGCGCGGGAGGGCCGACGCTCGGCGCCCGGTGTACCGGTGCACCGTTGGTTGTAGCTCGACTCCGCTTCGCTTGTACACGCGCGACACGTGTGCGGCATGCGTGCTCGCGCGGATTGACTCGGTCGGCGATGCGCTTTCGGATTCGCGACGCGCGTCCGTCTCTCCGTCTGCATGTCCGATGCGTGTTATGCACGTACGCCGGTCAGCCGAGCTCTCCTGTCCCTATAGATTATGTATACAACTAGCCGCTGCATGCGCGCCGCGACCCTACAGGTATACTTCGATTCAAGTTCAATGCTTCCCAGTCGCTCTCTGGCGCACTCTCTTTATCGACTATTCCGCGGCGCAGCTACTTACCCACGGCCGCAATTTATCGGCAAACAACATCTTTGCCGAGTCGTTAAATCGTTAATGCGCGACGCATCGCAAAAGCTAGTTCCAGCGCGAGGAAAATGCGCGATCGATCGAGCGTTTCGACGATACCGCAGCACCAAATTCTATTCTCCGTATCGCGCGGATCGCCGTGGTACGCGAAGGAAGAATACCGCCGATAGGCGCGCGCGATAGAGCCGTAAGCAAGAGTGCGACCAGCCAAATAGACGCGAAATAAATGCGAATGAATATCGCGTTCGCGCGAGCAACGTTCATTTCACGGCGGGCAGCGATCGCGTTAAGAAACGGCCATTATCTTCTCTGCCTCGATTTTCAGCGTCGGATCTGCTCGTTCGCTTGGTCGATATTCATCCGTGGAGTTGGTCATCGAGAAGCTGTATCCATATTGGAGGCAGGCCAGCTGCAGGGATTATCCGTTTCCACGCGGTGAAAGACGCGCGCATTTGTTTTTCCCGGTGGAACTGTGAGCCGGGGCAATTCGTTCCGAGGGCTCAATCACGGCGGAATTACAGGATGTAGCCGTGCCGCGATGGACGAGCAAATAATTAATGAATAGGCTACGCGTGGGCTTCGCCGAAAATGCTCCCGCGGCAGTAGAACCGCAATATCTTGACAGAAGGAAGCATCAATAATGCAAGCCGCTTGGGTATTCCCAGTTCTTCGCCTCGTTCCTCGGCGGCTTGGCCCCGTTTGCAGCACTCTCTCGCTCGACTTTAACAAGCCGAGCAAGGCGATTTAGCATAGTCGGTCGATCCGATGAAAAACAAATGGGCGTGGAGCGAAGGTGCGAGCGCCTCCGAGCAGCTAGCCGAGCTAATAAAACAAGTGGAGAGGGAACGGAGCGAGAGCTAAGTGGTGTGTGCGAAGAGCGGACTTGATAGGTCGGTCACGTGCCTCGATTTTCGCGCGGCGGCCGACTACAAAATCCCCATAAATCACGAGTCGACGGACCGGAGGACAGCCTTTTTGGTTTGCTAGGCTGCCGCTGCAGCGGCCTCCTCGTCGCCACGCACGTGGCGAACCCGATGGATTTCTAGCGTTGCCAGCGCCCGCGGACAATAACCTTCGACCGGTGGGCTTTGTCGCGGGCTTCGCGCAACGACGCGCCGAGTGCTTCCCGGCCGGGCGGCAGTCTCTCCGTTCGCGGAGCACGCGGTAAGCTCGTTTGCTCGGCTAGGTCGGCAGCGACTCGCCGCGTGCGACGTATCTCGCCGAGCAGGGCGCGCTCGAGTCGAATCTCCAGCTGAAGTGGATAAGAACTGCGCCCCTCCCCGGCCAGCCGTAATTGGATTCGACACGAGCTCTCCGGGCGTCCAAACGATCTTTCCATTTTCCAGTCTGGCCTTCCGCTTCTTTCCCCCGCGGCTCGATCCTCCCGAATTGTCTCTTCCTTCCGGTAGACCAGCCAAGGCACGAGGCCTCCGCGCGACCTCCAGCGAGCCTCGCGCGCCGCCGGGTAAACTGGCGGCGAGCGATAGCACAAATCGAGCTTGTGCGTCGACAGCCGAGCGACTCGGGATAGCTCGGGCGGCAACTGATTAGGGAAAACGAATGTGCCTGGCGCGGAGATAACCGGAGGACGCAAGTGAAACCAAAGGCATCGGATTATTCGATATAACCGAGTCGCAGTCGTGGGAGCGAGCGAAGAAGGAGAAAATGGTAAGAAGTCGGAGGAGCGCCGCGCCGGAGGGAAAAGTAGCCCGGCTGGAGAGTAGTGAGAGCAGGATTTAGGGCTACCATAAATCCGAGTGGGCTTTTCTTAAAGCCCCGGAGCTCGCTCGCATTCGCCGCTGGCATCCGCGCGGACTATGGTCAGCGAGCGGCTTTTACCAGATTGTGCGCTGCTTTCCGCACGATCGGCTCCTCTTTCTCCGACCGCTGCCTCTTACTCGCCGAATCCGCGTCGATGCCATTCCCCTTGAATGCCGCCCGATCTGTCTACTTAAATTAACTTTATACGTAGTCGCGCTTCGTTTGCAACTACATCAATCGGCGGCCTAGCAACTTCGTCCACGTATTGACTTTTATTTATCGCCGTCCGGCGTCCCGTGCATTAGCCAACTTTGTAAATAGGCGAAGCCGAAACTAGTGGTTTTTCTACGCACTTTAGGGAATGACAACATTGTAATTGTGATTTCCAGAGGGAAGCTGCTCAGCGAGATGCTGTGGAACGCGAAAGGCGGCAGCGTGTGGAGGCCGAAGCTCGGCTACGAGAGGCTGCGGCAGAAGTCGAGAGGACTAGCTCGAGGGTTCGTCATCTGCAAAGAGAACTGGACAGGTGAGCTTGCTTCGCAAACCAATTGCTTATTGCTTATTTTCGCTGACGGATCCGAGGGGCGCGTTTGTTACGGCGCGGCGTACGCGCTTCCTTGTATCCGAGGAGATGCCTATTACTCCGAGCTCGAACGAACCAGCTCGCGCGTTCTATACATATCGCTTTGTGGATTTTTTCCTACAGTTTACTTTTCGAGACCTACTGCAAACGTACTTTCAACAAGAAATCTAAAAGCAGCATTTTCGCGTATCCTCCATACAATACTCGATATCCAAAATTCAAAGTTACAAAGTAATTTGAATAAGTCGTTGGAATTTGTCGACCAAAATTCAAATAGAACGCGAATGAACGAAGAAGCAAAGTGTGATTTTAGCGATTCCGAGCTACACACTTTCTGTGTGCAGCTGGCTCATCGGTAAAATGTGCTGTTACCGAGACCAAGTGGCGAGCGTCGCGTGAATAACGAGAAGGGAATGCGTGCGTTTCCCGTGCAATATCCGGCGAGCCGTTAGCTCGCTAAATCATCGGTATTAGCTGACCACCAATAATGCACGCAGCCCTCCCCCGCGCTTCCAATTTGCTCCTATTGATTTCCTTTTCGGAAATTGACCACTATAGCTCCGCAATTCCAACCCTTATTAGCCAAAATGCCTTTCAACCAATAATATCTTTAAAGCAACCATGCCGCGGCAGTAAATGCTTCGTCGTTGCCTTTGCAAGCAGTTAGTCGAGCCACGGAATTGCTCGCGTTTGCAGAACAATGTTCATTGATACGCTGTTTATGAGTCGCGATAGTACTTGTCAAATCGCACTTGCTCGCTTAGACAGGTGAAACGAGTGACTGCACAAAATTTGTTAAACGATGCCCCAGTTCTTTTCGCAAAAATACGCGTGCGCTGCGCAATTCGGTATCGTGTCAGATTTCTCAGTATCGATTACGTTCGTTGCAAATGACTCAGTGAAAATTATTTATCGGCGGTTTTGCCACTCGTTCCACGGTAAAGAAATCGCACTGGGATCTGCACGATACGCATAAAATACTGATGAGTAATCGTTATATTTGCTTTTTGCGACGAAAAGATCGTAATAATTCTCATTATTCTTTTAATTCGAACCAATTAACTTGTGCTCATACGAATTAATGCGTTTTATTGATTTGCCAATCGGTGCAAGTTGCATTGTTTGAAAAGCATTGATCAGCTTTGTACGTCGTTAGTGAGTTGGCATTGTACGTGGCGAGCCGATTAGAAGAAAATATTAAAATAACGCAATGCCAACTGCCAGCTGCGCGCGCACCTAATTTACTTATCATTCGCAAGGGAGACGAATAGACAATCGAACATCCACGACGTCACTCGGCTTTCTCTTTATTCCGCGCATAAATCTTTCGCCTTTCACTAAACATTTCCGTGGCGGGGAATGCTCATTGGGTCTTCGTTTGATTTTGCGTGTGCTCGACTGGCTTTCAGCAAATGATTAAATACAAGCCCATCTTTTCTCTGCTGTTCTTAAAAGCGTCCTCAAAAAATCAGTCGACTGGTTGTGAAATCTTCACAGTTATGCCATGGTTTTCATAATGCTCAAAAGCTTCAATACAATGGAGCGTTGAGAATTATTTAGGGGAGGTTTCTACATAACGAGGCATCGGCCGTCAGACGTGTACTACGGTGAAAACGGACAATAAAATCACCTCGATAATCTCCGTACACGTCCCGTGTCCCCGACGTTACCCGACGTCCGTTGTCCTTAAATAGAGAGACCCCTTCGTGCTTCCATTCATTTTCATTACATATTTTTCCACTAAGTTATGGTGAAATATGCTTTACACTTTCGCAATAACTACTCGAAATGTCAATATAATATTTTTGGAAACGCACAGCAAGCAAAATTTGCAAATTCGTGCATTCAATGAAATATTTGTAGCTCGAACAAAGGCCGCCAAACATTTGTAGAGGGGAAATAGATAAAACGGAGATAGATCCGTCGGAGCGAGATACCGAAAGGACAGGGAAAAACGAAGCAGTGTCGGAATGTAAATCGAGCAACAATCGTAATAGTTTAATGAAAAATTAGTCGGAGGCGCACGTACAAATTGGCCTGAATAGTGGCGAAGTTTCGAGCGGAAATAGGAGTCTGCGATTGCCGAGGGCGCAGTGCCGCTGGCCAAACAGAGCAAGAAGGCAGGAGTCGCGCGAGAGAGCAACGCCGACAGTGGGAATAGGGCGCGGGAGTGGTAATTAGCCGGAGCAAAAACTTAATTGGCAAGTTGACAGGTAGACGGAGAGCTTGCCGCGCGAGATGGCCGACCGTGAGATTAAAACGTTTCGCCGACTTGAATATCAGTCGATCCGCGGTCAGTCGCGGAGTGCCGCTCGTCGGCCGAGTCCGACGGGCTCGCAGGTGTCCTCGTGGCCGCCACGTCGGTGGACGGCAAACGGAGCTCGAGGAGAGCGGCGCCGGCCGGATCGCTTCGCCAGGTGGCGGCGCGCGAGCTCGTTAATTGGCGCGCGCTCGTGCATCGCGCTGCGCGAGGGGGCAACGTCGCGAATCTGGGGCGTTGCTAAGCAAGACGCCGGCAGCGCCGCTCGAGCGGGAGGCTGAGTGCCAACTTTAAATCGGGCCGGCTTGCGCGCAGGCAAGAAAGAGGGCTAAACATTCGTACCCCAAAAGCCAAGTCCCTTCCTAATCGAGTTGCCACTGCCGCACGCGCAGCCAGCTACATTGTGCACCCTCCGACAGCCGCGCGAGCCTCGTTCGTTTACGCCGAGATGCCTGCTCGCGACGATTGATACGGCACGCGCCTGCTCTCACGACGGCGGGGCTGCCGTCGGTCGGCACTGTGCGCGCCCTTGCTTCTCCAGCCGCCGTAGTGCGCGCCCGCGACGCCTTCTTTTGCCGGGCCAAGTGCTCGCGTCAACGATCGCAGCGCGATGCCACTTAACGGACAATCGAAGCACGCAGCCTCGGCATTCGAGTGGTACGCCGAGAACGCGTCGACGGGCGTATTTGGCTTCAGTTTTCGCTGAAAACGTCCAGCCTCCCGGAGCTTTCGAAAGATAAACCGCGCGAATCGCGATATGGTTTCCCGCGTAATTCCAATTGGCAGTCGGACCAGCGCTATCGTTTTTCGCTATTTATCGAAACCCCGACGAGCATCGATGAGTTTCTTTTATTTTTTATTTTTTTGACGATCGAAGGTTGTCACGAGATAGGGGGTCCCATTGCGTTTGGCCCGCGGAACGATCAAGCGAGAGCATCGGAGGTGTGCGCGCCATTCGACGCTCTTGATACGGGATTTTTCCGTGAAAGCGTTCGCGCGCTATCTCGGCATTCGTTTGGCTGCCGTCTTGCATTTGTCACGTAGACGGCTGTCGCGGGCTTGGCAAACACAATAAAAAAATTCCGTAGCGCTCTCCGCGGCACTTGGCGGCTGTGATTTCACGCCGAGTATTTGAAAAGAGATGTGTTTTTTACAACGTCCTGGCAAACGTCGGCTGGCCGACTAGCGCGGACAGGCAGAAGGAGAGCATCGCTTTCTTTATCTTTATTGGACGCGCCAAATAGAAAGCGAAGTCTCGTATTCGCGATGCACCGAGCAGCAGAGTGCCTCTCGAGAGCCAGAGCCCGTGTCAATATTAACCTTCTGTCTGCGCGCGGAAGCTCCAAGCCCTTCCCGGCGCGGCTCGCCGTACTCGTCCAGCCGCGCTTGTACGCGCTCGTTGTCCGCTCGTAAAACACGCCTCCGAGCTGCACGGTCCCCTCTCCGATGCGCGCACTGCCCCGACCCGAGCCGTACCCCTGCGACGCGTACGCGTGCCTTGGCATTTCACACGAGAAAGCCATTCGCTCGCTTTTCCAGAGCACATTTCCGAGCACATCGAAAAGCGAAGGCGCGACACACGCGGCGAAATGACAAAGAGGAGTTTGGCGCCGCGAGGCGGTAAATCAGACGGAAAGCGGATCGAACGGCCGCTGCTCCGCAGAGAGCTGCACCGGGGGTGCAAGTGGCGCGCGCGCGAAACAGAGGGAATGATTTTTTGACCGAGCTCCCAAATCGCTGCTTGCAATGCACACGAGTGCGCCCGCCGAGCATTCACATGTGGCTATTCTTTGTTGTTCCAGGATGGAGGAGAACACGAGGGAGCTGCTCCAACACAAACAGCGAGCCGAGCAGCTGAAGCAGGAGAAGACTGCGCTCACACTGTCCTACGAGGTGGCTGCCTGTCGCTCGCTCTCGCGCTCGTTTCGCGCCAGCTCGCGTCTTCCGCCGCGCAGGGGCGACGCGGACGCGCGGCCCGCTCGCTATCTCTTCACGGCCGGTTACACTTCGATGAATACTGGCTGTGCGTCGGGAGCTCGCTATCGGCATTGCCCGCGTGTTTGCTCGTTCGTTTGCTTTCTCTTCTCTTCCCATGCAGCCTCTGCTAAATGCCAGACATCGCGCGCTCCCTTCTCGCGAATCTTTCGTAAATCTGCACGCTAACGTCGACGGAAAGCCCTCGGTTCCTAGCTCCGAGCTCCAACAGGGTCCTTTGGAATAACGCGTCGCGATGGTCGGCCGGCCAAGTCGACGGCCCGTGTCGACCAGAGCCACCAAGGCTCGCTCTCGCGCGGGAGACGACGTACGATCTTGGGCCGTCGTCCAGGAAGGCGGCCCCGCGCGTCCGACGCAGCGACAGCCGACTGACGAGCGACGAACGCGTTGCAGGCACGCATCGAGCAGTTCCAGAGCGAGCTCGCGGCTCTGCGCCTGGAGAAGGAGTCGATGCGAGCGCAGGTGCGCGGCCTGGAGGCGGCCTGTCTGGGCGAGGTGCAGGCGGCGCTGCTCGGGCGCCTGGCCAGCCTCGAGAACGAGCACGCGGCGCTGGCGCGCGACGCCGACTCGCAGCGCCGACAGTACGAGCGCTGCCTGGACGAGGTGGCCAACCAGGTGGTGCGCGCGCTGCTCTCGCAGAAGGCGCTGCGCGAGGAGATCGGCACCCTGCAGCGGCGCATCCGCGAGCTGGAGACGCAGAACCGGCGGCTGTCCGGGCTCGCGCAGGCGGCCGGGGCGCGCCAGCAGCAGGGCGCCGGCGAGCTAGGCGGCGCGGCTCTGCTCGCGGCCCTCGGCCTGGAGCCCGGCTGGCTGGGCGGCGCGCGGCCGCGCTCGCTGGGCCTGCGCGCGCCCGCGAGCGCCGAGCGCCGCGCCGCGCCCGCCAAGGACGAGCCGGAGGGCAGCGAGAGCCCGGAGAGCGGCAACCGCGACGAGGGCTACTCGACGATGTCGAGCGACGTGCAGGGCGCGCCGAGCGAGGCGCGCGCCGCGCCCGCCGCAGCGCAAGACCCGCGCGGCCTGGAGGACCTGAAGGAGGCGGCCGACGAGAGCGACGGCGACTCGGCCGACAGCGCGGGCACGCCGCGGCTGCGCCCGCTCGGCCTCGGCCTCGGCCTCGACCTGGACCTCGACCTGGAGCTGGAGCTCGCGCTGGCGCTGGGCCCGGCGGGCCGCGCCGCGCGCCACAGCTTCCCGCCGGGCGGGCCGCGCGCGCCGCTCGCCTGGCCGCTCGCGCGCAGCCTCAGCGACAGCCAGCTCTGCCTGCGGCTCGCGCTCTCCATGTCGATGGCGCGCTGCGGCAGCTCGCTGCTGCTCAGCGTCGACGAGGAGGCCTGGGACGCCGAGTACCTGCAGCAGTGGCTGCGGCTCGACGACTCGCGGCAGCGCCCGGCGGCGCGCGAGCCGCCGCTCGAGCTGGGCTGCGCGCGCGCCGACCTCGAGGACTGGAGCCTGGAGCTGTCGGGCTCGAGCTCGGGCTCCGAGGACGCCGAGCGGCGCGTGCCCCGCGAGTCGCGCGCGCGCCGCCGCACGCCCGTCTCGCCGGGCGTCGGCACCGACTTCACGCGCGACTTCTACCGGCTGGTCAAGTTCGAGAGCAGCCGCAGCCTGGCCAGCAGCTCGAGCGAGCGCGAGGCCGCGGGCGAGCCGCCCGAGGAGGCGCCCTCGCCGCCCGCCGCGCCCGAGGAGCTGGGCGCCGTGCCCGAGGAGGACGAGGAGGCCGCCACCTCGTCCACGCCCAGCACGGTGGTGAGCGCGCCCGCGCGCGCCGGCTCGCCGCGCGAGAGCCTGCTGGTGGAGGGCCGGGAGCGCGGCCTGGGCTTCCACGAGCGCGCCACCTCCAAGGACGTCATCGACGAGCTGAACCGCATGATCAGGAGTGGCGAGGAGGCCGGCGCCCGGCACGACGCGCTCGCGCCCCTGGACAAGCTCGACCTGGCCTGCTGCTGCCCCACCGGCTGGGTGCACATCGAGCGGGACATCGACTTCACCGACCCCAAGGTCTCTCGACGGCGAGCGCCGCCTCTGCGCGTCGCGCGGCGGCGGCCTCTTTACTAACCGGTGGGCTGAATGTGCAGGCGCGGGCCAACCTGCTGGACGTGATGCTGGCGAGCAGCGAGAGCTCGTCGGCGACCTCGAGCAGCGGCTCGGCGGCCAGCGATTCGGGCGACGAGCCGGCCGACTACCGCCACCTGCACCGGCTCCACCGCTACCGCCGCCAGAGGAAAGGTAATTCTTCGGGACTGCCCGTCGCCGGCGTGCGCAGCCTCCACGTCACCACCGCGTCCGTCGCTCCTCCAACTCCGGTCCGCCGCGAGCCCGACTGCCGCCCCGTTCCTCGCGCTTGCTTGCGCGACGAGACACGCCTCTCGCCTACTTTGATCGTCTCTTTTTCTCCAATGTCGATCGGGCACTCCACACTTCCGCAGACCCAACTGTGCGAGCGTTCGTCTTGCATCCCTCCAACCGACTCACCGTCGGCTCTTCCGCTCGGCCGAATTTCTTACGACGAGAATACGACGACGATCGCAATGCAATACCCACACTCTATGCTGACGAAAGATTTATTTTTGTTTTTTTAATGCTGTTGAAAGCAGACAGGTTAAAACCGAGAGATCTGTCGGAGAGATGCGCCCACGGAGGAACGATCGGATAGAACGAGTGGCGAATAATGCAAAACGGAGAAAAAGAGAAGACACGTTGAGAAAATGCTTGGCTCGGCTACGTGCAGAAGTTGGCAGATATTGGATTGCAAGCGAACTAGCTGAAATAACGATATGAGAATTGAGGAGCAGATGACGAATATATCTTGCCAGCTTCTGTCGTTGTAAAGAGTATCAGGGATGAGCGACAGCTGTTTCGAGAGCAAAGTCCTTGGAGAATGTGCTTGACCGGTGTTCTTGCTTTGTGCTCTGTAGCTTCGGCGCTGCACGCCCACCGAGTGCTGCGGCTGCCGTCCAACTGGGGCTCGGCGAGGCCCTCGATCATCGGCCGAGGCGGCGAATTTTTCGTGCGTTACGGCGACAAAGAGCGCGAGGCCGTCGCTTATTTCGACTTCCTCAATGACATTCCCCTGACGGCCGCGCATCCGCCGCAGCAGCTCGGCGCTGGCAATGCGCTCGACCTCCTCGACCCGGCCAACGGCCCCGGCAGCGCTGCGGATCGCACGAGGATATCACCACTGTAAATAGCCCTCGCACGACTGCTGCGTGGCCTCTTCCCGACGCCTCTGCGCGAAAGCACATCAGCGAAACACTACAATCAGCCATCGCCTCGAATATCCAGCCGTCAATTGTTCGATGCCACGCCGATCGCGCGATCATCACCTTACTCCAAAATCTTATCGTTTCGTCCGCTCGGAACTTTGCATCGCTTTTCACCAGCAGCGCTCTTCCATTTGCATCAGAAGCAGTTCGTTGTTATCGTGTTAGTCTTGCAAACGACAGCACCAAATCAAAATCAAATTCTCTCTGTCTAGCAAAATATCAATAGATATGTAACAACGAATTACTTTTAAATCTCGAGATACCAAAATACGATCCACTCGTTTCATTGGATTTCTTGATTAAACGATTAAACGAGTTACTCACTTTGCATTTCAATGGAAATACGGCCAGACTTCCTTATTTCATCATTTTTCATTTCATATACACACAAATATATATTTATTTGAATGCTAGATTTCACCTCATTTTTATATAGAATGCCGTAGTCTCCATAAATTATTCATGCTATTAACAGTTATTTTATAATCGAAACATTTTGACGGTCTTTGGATTTCTACTCAAAGAGATGCCTTACACTTACCTAATGTTAGACTCCTTTCCATCATTTCTTACTTTTTTTTTTTCAAGTTCCGGCATAATAATTAATTTCTCAGAAATAAGGTTAAACTGTGCGCCGATGTTTGTACAATCTACAACAACCAAATGAAAACTAAAATTCAACTCTTATCGTCAAAATTTACATCCAAAATATACTACTCAAATATTATGAATTAATAATAATCTATAGTACCTAATTGTACGTGTATGAAATGAGCATTGAAAAATTGATTTTAAAAAATCCTAGAATCAGCAACCAAAAAGTAGTTGACGTGAAATTGTTTTATAATTAGACATATTACCTTCGAGTAATTCTACGTTGCCTTGGGATAACTACTTAAATTCGATGGACTACGAAAAGGTTACGTTACTTATGAATAATCTACTCTTAGATGTACAGCTCAACGACAATTGGATTGCATCCGTTTCATACGTATAAACATTTAACCTAATTTAATTTAATTTTAATCTTAATTTTAATGTAATATTTCTTACAGATGTATAAATGCACCTTTGAATCAGAAACAATGGATTTAATTGTTTAATTGTATTTTTACTGCGTCTATTTCTTAGTACAGTCAATCATAAAAGGTGAATTTAATTGCTTCGAATCTTTATGCGAATGAAACAAAGTCTATCCAAAATTGTAATACTTATTTCACACTATTTACAAATAGAAAATGTACTATATTTGAAGCTGCATCAAAAGAATTAATGTAAAGGCTGTGGATTTCTTAATCTTTTTTAAGAACATATACTTTGACTCAGCGATTTTTAGATGATAAAAAAAATATTCGAATCTACATATATAATTTACTCAAAGCAGTAGGTAAGAAGAGGAATCAAGTAATTTTTAATAATTTTAAAAGTAATCTTATTGTTAATGGAAGTGACTGAAGTAGAAAAATAATTTCGAAAAAAGTTACTTTAAAAATACGCCGTTATATTAAAAACCTACGAAAGAGATTGTAAATAACATGTATTATAAAACCGATAGAATTAAGTGATATCGTAGGTAAAACTTAATAAATGAAGAAAACGTAAGGTGGCTTGTGATTATCTTTGATTAACCCCGATTATTAATAAAACCATAATTTTACAAAATAATTTTATTGAAGCGTGCAAATTCGTTGATTAACACTAGATTCATAAACGTGATCGTTAATACGCTTTACGAGAAAAATGCAACATTACATTTTAATGACTGCGAACATGTTCACACGCAAGTAATTATATAAATCTGCTCAATGACAGTTAGAATATTTAACGAACATTCGCGGTTTAGAAGAAAGCTTAAATCTAAGGATTTAAAAAGAAAATAAGCATTGAACCAACTCTTGAGAGATTCAATGAAAGCGCATACAAAATTAGATAATTGACAAATTATAAAATTCTTATAAAAACTCACTCGATAAATAACTTAGATGCCAAAGAAGATATGTGTATGAAAAATAGCCCGGTATATAGATCAATTAATTCAAGCTGATTACATATAAAATTGAAATAATGAGGTAAAGTTTTATGTACCTTATTCAACTATGAAGTTATACTGTACGGTCAGACGTTACATGTTCGTTATAAATAATTTCTTTGCTATTAATGTATAAAACTTTTAATAAGTATATAAAATGTATGTGAATCTAAACAATTATCTGTAGCCAGTAATTACAATCTTCAATGTTGATGAAAGCTCTTTTTAAATATCTTAGAAAATACGAAGGCGTCTTACAATATAGCTTTTATAGTAAGCATCACGCATAAGGTACGTGTTTCAATTCACTTTGAAAAACATGAGCTTAGAGTTGTTTGATATATAAATATATCTCGATTTTAACTTGAAAAACTGGACGTTTACATTAGCATAACATATAATTGATGGTAATGTAAAAAAAAGTGTTTTCGATGAAATCGTTGCGTTTGAAAGCTGTGAGAAATTTAGACTTTGTATCCTCGGCGCTCCACATTTCGTATCGAGTTAGCTAGGCAGAAGGAGAAAATGACACCAAATAGCTGAAATACATAATTGACAATTGTTAGAGTAGTGATCAAGGTAACGAGTAAGCAGTGATAAAGGTAACATTATTTAAAATCTTAATCTACCTCGACTGCTGCAATAGCAAGGGCTAAGCTTCCCAAAGTATTCATGTACTTATGTATTTTAGGAAGAACGACCGATTCACATCCATTTAGATGGTCATGATCTGGAACTGCGCAAGTCTCGTGTTCCGGTTTTCCACAGCAGGAGTAAGGCATCGGTCCTCTGAAATCCGCGGGGCTGTTGAATCCGCAGCAGCCCATCTGAAATGAAATGGAGTTCATTGCCGATTAGCAAGAAAAGCGCCTTGCTAGAAAAGCGATGGTGTGCACGGAATCAGTAGTTGAGCACAAAGCGTGAAGACATTTACCAAAGTTTGGATGGAGTTAACTGTAGCCTCGGTAGCTTTGTGGTCGTTTGGCTTATCTTGGAAGTACCTATCGTAAAGATTTTTCAACTGCTTATTGAAGTCCTCGTCGAAAGTGCCTTCATTCATTTTGATGAAGGCGAAACCAGCTATGGTTACTTGGATGACAAGCAGAGTCAACAGTAACACGGCAAACTTGAAATGACGAAAGATAAAATTAATATGCTGAACGCGATTGTCGATTCGGAATACGGTCCGAATTGAAGATGATACTCACGGTAACGATCATGCAGTGACTTTCACGGGCAGCTCCGCAGCATCCAAAGAAGGCAATGATGAAAATGATTGCACCGACGGCAATGAGCACCGTGGCGGGTAGCGTCAATTGCGAAGGAACATTTCCCTCGAAAATGGCCAATACGTCACCTTTGTTCAATTCGATCAGAACTCCGACTATTAGGATCGCCAGTCCTCCCAGCTGGAACGTGAAAATTCAGCATGCTTATTGATCGATTCGCCAGTTACGAGTTCGGTATGTTCGTTAGTAGGGGATTTGTTAGTAAATGACGCCGTCAATCTTGAAGGCACACGCGCTTGAGAGAGAGAGAGAGAGAGAGAGAGAGAGAGAGAGAGAGAGAGAGAGAGAGAGAGAGAGAGAGAGAGAGAGAGAGAGAGAGAGAGAGAGAGAGAGAGAGAGAGAGAGAGAGAAAGCGAGCAGGCGAGGAGGCGACCGCCACGAGGACAAGCGAAATCGATGGGCCAAGGAGTCGCGAGAGGAGCAAGCCTACACGGGGTGGTATCGATTGGGCGAGCGCTGGTCGCTGATCTGGCAGCGAGCGGCGACTGCTTGGCGTCGCTCGCGCCACATCGATCGGCCGTCCGACGCGCGGCCGGATTTTCCGCTTTTCTCGTTCCGTCAAAGCCGAAAGCAGCCTGCCCACGCGGCAGCTAAGCTCATCGATCGGCCTCCCGTGGCGACGGCCTACACGGCTTGGCTCTGCACTATAGCAGCTGGCGCGCGCGCCGAGCGAGCAAAGGGTCAATGAATCCAGCCCAAGTTGAACGATTTGTAGCTCGCGCGAGCCGACACCTGCTGCGCGAGCCGGCGCCGTTCGAGGACAGCGGACGACAGCGGCCAGTCGTCTCTCTCGTACCAGTCAGCTCGCTAATCGGGCAACTCGGTTTAGCGCGCATTATCGCTGCGACCTGGCCTCATCCTGAACCCAGCCACGGACGGCGCCGCACTCTGGCGATCGCTCTCCACTTTCTATAGCTTTCGCTTGCGATCGATCGCCATTAATTATTGATCCTCGATGGCACACTCGCGAACCTTTATTTCTTTCTTTCCAACTGATACCCGCTTGCTTTCGCGAGAGCCCAGTCGTTGCGTAATCGTTGCATAGACTTCCGTGTGCGTGCATTAAGCGTGGCAGATGCCGGTATACCGGTAGCCGCCAGCCGAGCTTCTTGCCTCTCCACGATCGATCGTTTCTCGAGCTTTCAATAGCCAAACAAATTAGCGCCGCCGTCAGTGACGAATATACGCGCGAAACGTCTACGCATACGTGGCATCGATATGCTGGAAGCATACGTTTCAAGGCTCGCTATTTATAGCAATATCGTTTCCAATTGCCAGTAGTTCTCTCGGAAAAGATTTCTATGAGCAAAGCGCCCTAATTATTTTAAAAAACAACATTATATGGCGTTTCATTTATTTTATTGCGCTTTTGCCTATCCAGTATTGCTTATCCAGTCTCACGGGTTCTTTATTGGGAGAGAGATTGAAATTTCGATCGAAGGTTACGTTTGTAGACATTGCCCGATTGTCGTATTCGCCAAGGTTTCGCCGCCAATTTCATTTCAATGAGATACTTGCGTCGACCATGCGCTAAGGTCACCTCGTACGCATGCTAATGAATCGTACAAAAAAAGCGAGAAAAACAAAGGAGCATCTAACTCGCGATCGGCGTGAAATCGAAGCCGTCTAATATCGCGAAGAAAAGGATAAATCAGTTTGTAAAATTCATAAGTGCGCGATATTGTTTGCCAGCACCAGTTAAATGTTCTGCACTAGGAGTGCGATCGGTTAGTTTTGAAAAAGGAATACTGCGCAGGTACCAGTATCGCGAACGTCAAATTGAAAATTCGCGAGGTTAGGTTTCAAACGATAAAAAGCGTCTCAACTGCTCGATAGAGCCGTGCAGTAATTTCAATTGGGCTCTCTTCGCGTGTAATTACATCATTGCACATATCAGGGCAAGGAGGCGTTTTAAAGGCTGATTGAGCGTCATTGAGCAACATTTTATTGAATAAAAATGTGCGTTTCTATAGCTAGCTACTAAAATCAACAATGACGCGAGAGAGAACCGAAACGAGACATTCGGCAAAGCCACAAAACTAAGACACGTAGGCGGATGTTGATAGCGGGGACGGCCAAGGGGTTTTCCGCACGAGTCGTTTAGAGCCAATAGCGAGTCGATCAGCTCTCCGAAAACGCGTGGGCGAGAGGAGGAAAAATCTTAGCGAAAAGTCGCTCGATGACAATGGAACAAAGCCAAGAAGCGAGAAGCAAGAAGCGAGAAGCGAGAAGCGAGAAGCGAGAAGCGAGAAGCGAGAAGCGAGAAGCGAGAAGTGAGGCGATCTGCTTGATTGCGATGTTGTCAAGTCTCGCGGGCGCCAGTCTCGACGAGGAGCGAGAGCACAGATCCGAGGGAAGAGCGGATAGGAGCGGAAAAGGCGCGCAGAAGATCGAGCAAAAGCGCGTACTCGCGCAGCGAGCTTATCGCGCCACGGTAGCCGACCGGAACAGCCTGGGCTTGCGTAACAACTGACAGGTGGAGCGGCCGCTCAGCCGCAGCCAGCGAGCAACGTTCGCGGCGAAACTGCGCTTCCATTTTACGCAGAATCGCGTGCACGTGCGGCGCGCGCTCTCTTCGTTCTCTCCCGAGCACGCACACAGCACCGTGGGCGTGTATCATCCTCGCGCGGCGAGCCGCGACGCTGCGCACAAAGCGCCCACCAGCACTGGCGACTCGTCGTCGGACGACCAGCGCCTTGGCCGGCGATCAATCGTACGCCGCACCGCGGATCGGCGCCCTAGCTCGCCATCGCGTGGTATTACGTGTACAGCACTGAACTTACGGCAAAGAGAAAATTGACGAAGAAGAGCAACCACCTGACGCAGCCCGAGGCGCAACCCATGTTCGCTGTTGAGCTGCTGAAGCAGAGCCACGGGACGGGGAAGGCGGCGGTGCAGGTGCGTCGTAGGTCGCGACGAGTTGGCACCGACTGAGCGCGCGGCGCGATCGTAACGAAGCGCGAGCCACGAGAACAACCGAATAAACACGGAGCGACGGAGAGAGTGAGGGAAAGAGCGGAGAGCGAAACGAAGCCGCGCGGTTCGCAGCTCGTGCACGCTCACCGCTGCCGCTCCTCGAGACTGGCCATCGAGCGAGCACTGCGAGCAGCGTGGCTCCAGCACTTGTTATAGCTAGTTCTGCCCGCGCCGTTTCTCGATTCGTGCACATCCGCGAGGAAAACAGAAAGAGAAACCGTCGACGCGCCGCGCGAGCAGCCCAGCCTACACTCGAAAACCCAATGCGCACACCTTCACACCTACACCGTGTACACACGCTACCACAAGCTACTTTCTTCTACCCCTCCCTCGCTGCTCTTACGGGGCAGGCAGCAGGCACTGTAGCTTGCATCTCTCACTCCGACTATACTACGGAAAGCTGTACCCACCTATATACCTGCCTGCTGCCTGCGGACTGCGGCCCTGCCATGCCGCGTTCTAGCACGCGACAATTCTACGTACAGATCTTGTCTATATTTTTCCTTTTTCCTGTTCATCGCTTCTGCATTTACCTTTTCTTCCGAAAAACTCTCATGAACCGTATACATCTGTACGCCGGTAGCACACTACCTCGCAAGTCTGCCATATTCCACCTACTTTAAGATCTTTCTTTCCTTTGCGGTGGATTTTATTCAACCGATACCTACACTCAAGACACCCACGATAAAAATACAGTGTTACAATTACTTTAGAATTGTTTCAGAGCCGAAGTGTTATTGTCTGTAAAAAAAGACGGCACGAGCAACAAGTTTGCAAAGAAATCCTTTCAATAAATTCCGATTAATTGAATGACGATAGATACGTCGATGCATCAGGCTGACGACACCGAAGAGTGAGTCATCGGATAATATTGACCAAAACAAACAAAGTTTTATCAATACTTGGAATTTGTTCCTTATTTGAATAACAAAAACGAAAAATCCCAGCACATTTGTAATCGTTGTACTGTACATTACTGTCGCGAGCTGGAAGGTAATAGGAGCATTAACCTGCTAACAATTAACTTCACATTGACCTCGCGTTCAACGAATACTTGAGTGGTTGAATGGCGTTTTTCTCATTTTAACGTGGAAATCCACAAGGTTACTTGTAAACGGTATCCTGCAGAAGATATATAAACTACGCTAACCTTCCATTATGCTTGTAAATCAAATCACATTATTTCTTCAATGAGCTCAAGTTCGTTTAAATAGCTTTTGAATGCACTGAAAAACTACTCATCGCTACAATAGCTGGTGGCTATATATTCTTGCCTATTTCATCAATGGTTTCTGCATAATTTTGCCTTTTCGAGGATTATTTTTATCACTCGCAAATACAAAGAAATTACGAAAGATGTAGCTGGTTTTTCGACACAGTGTAACGGCTAAATATAGAAGACTGACTGCAGAGTCGTTCTCGTAGAAGATAATGGCATTACTCATAGTTACTTCAACGAGTTTTGAAAAAATGATCCTTTCCCCGTTATCGAAGTAAGATAAGCACTCGAGGTCTAACTTCGTAAGAAAGTAGTATTGATTACGAGTCTTATTGCATTACTAAATTTCGCAATGCTTATAAATACTAATCAATTTTGCCAAGGTATCGTTTCAGTCAGATAACATTCAATTCACAGAGGTAAAACACTTGCAAACCATCCGACAGAAGACTTACAAAATCCTACAGTATTAGTCTAAATCAAATGTAAATTGCGATTCTCTTTCATATTCGTAACACGCTTGTATTGCCGTAAACGTATTATCGAGCCTGAAAACAAAACAGCGAAAAAATTATCAAACGTTGCAATTGTAGATACGACAGACGGTAATTCGCAAAATGGAGCGTTGACGCCTGCAATTTCACGAGGTCACGAAGATCGAGCACAGTGTAAAATACGTGCACGGGCGTGGATGATTTAAATTAGTAACCGTTCGTTTAAAAAATACATATTACGATGATAAACGCACGCATTATGGTTAACAGGAAATGCAGGTGGATTACGTGAGCACGAAATCTCAGGCAAACACTGATTATGGCGAATGGTATTAACAGTTTTAATCGTTCGAAATAGAATTTATAAGTAATCGCGATAGGAGGCGTGAAAACACTTACCGCAAAGACAAAGTTGAAGATAAAGATGAGGTACTTGATGCAATCCATTCCACAATTCATGGTGGCAACTTTTTCTAGGTTTTTCTTGAACGACGAAGGCACAGAAGGTTCCAACTATAAGATATAAAACTCTTAGTCGACCGCTCAATTTCGACGTCGAATCGCTCTGAAAGAAGAGAGGCGAAGATGAGAAAACGCGGGACCGAAACGAAACTGGTTATAAAATGTCTAGAAATGTACAAAGTGCGTGAAGCGTCCAAAAGCGGGAACGCGAATGACGCGCTGGTGCTGTGGTCACTAGAGCTGTGTGGCGCTGGAGAGCAGTGCGACCGGCTACTATGGCGGAGAAGGCACTCCCACCGCGGAAAGGAAAGAGATGGACGACATACAAGCAGACAAAGAAAGAAAGAGACGCTCAACAGGTTATGCATTTGCTCACAGCGCTCGTGATACTCTCTTCCCCTTGATCGCCCCTTCACCTCCCTCCCTTGTCACTATCGCGCACGCAGAGCCGCGTCAACATCAGCGGACATATATATAACTATAATAGAGTACAGCACATTATCACTGTTATGACTATACCTACTCATATAGTACGCGCAACTGATATCTATATAATTTTGTACCTTATTTTCGTTAATTATTCTACTTAATTGATTGCATAATACCTCTTACCGCCACAGTTATTTCGATAACAAAAGTGAGCCACAGACTTACGCACACTTACAAAGATGTATAGATATCTGGCACAGCGAGTAATCCCTGCATGTACTGATTATAAATGACTCATCATGACCTATTATCGGCTGTATATATTCGCAACGACTATTCGCCTATGCAAATTAACATCACGCTCAAATTTGCATATTATAACATTTGTAAATTTTCGACAAATAAAAAGTTTTGGCGTTTTTTAAAGCATTAACGGTTGCTTTTCAAAACATTAAAATTTAATAACTCGTTTAAGATTGCATCCAAGCCATTAAAAAAAGTTCGAGGATAAAATAGTGTCCAAGTACATTTAGCCAATTTCAAAAATATGGTAAACCTATTTCGGATTCAAAGCTACAGTGATTGATTTTGTAAGCACGGTTGTTCAGAAATTGTTTTGATTGTGATTCATTTGTCATCAGTATAAATATGGCTTGATAGGTATTACAACATTTATATTTGAATACTAAATTAAAAATGGTCTAATGCAAAACTACTGGAGTGAACTTACGGTAAGCAGTTATCTTGGTTGTTATTATTTCGCGTCATTTATTGGCCACGACTTATGAGTCTCATATATTTTAGAAATTCGTCAAAAAAAAGTTGAAATGTCTTTTACATTTTTTACGCCACGACTGCAAAAAACGGTTAAGAAATAAAGATGAGAAAGTTGCCAAGCAGTTTTAATTTGTTGTTTGTCGTCAAGTGAGTCAGTCGTTATAAAGTCTTCGTGATAATTAGTCGTGTAGTTCAAGTTAATAAAGTACTCTTATATGCGTGTTGCTATTATATCAATATTAGGGTTTCGGTGTTGTCACATATATTATTAAATCGAGCTGATTTTTGATGCACTTAAAAAATTAATATCTTAATTTTTATTCATTTTGTTTGACCAGAGGTCTTGTGTATATTAAACTTTATGACCAGTTATGAACTTTCATATTTCACTTCATTTAATCTTAAACGTTGTAGGAAGCATCTAGGGTATCTGGAGACTATCATTTGTACAAATAAGATTTTTCACGCATTTGTCGAGTATAAAACTGTGCAACCTGCTTTCGCAAATACTTAAATAGAAATGAAGTTCGTAATAATGTTGATATGAACAACATAATAAATACATTACCGGTTTTGGAAGTATTTAAGAATTGGTTCTCATCTCTTTTATACAATATACTATTGGTTTTAATGTAATAAATAAGATAAATAGTTATTTAAGTATAATGATGTTCGTTATTAGTTTATTGAAAAATCGATCAGTTTAAGATAATATTTATATGTATTATTACGTATTTTTTTCAAATTTTCGTAATAAGACTTTACTAAAAATAAACTATTTGTAATTGAAAAATGCAATAATATTCCAACTTGAATACATTTGACTGTCATTTATCTTACAAAAGGATACTTTACATGTGAAGCTATTGTTATTTTATTATAAAATCAATTTCGTGTAATGAATTTAAGAGATATTATACTAAATCTATAATTACAATGAATATGATTCACTCATATCATGGATGTAAACCACTACATTAAGCATCTTATAAAATTTTCTATGCATTATTTAAAGCGAATCTTGTGTAAACCTCGTCAAGCTTTCGTATAAAATTGATATACTCTGTTTTACCCGATTGCGGAAAGGCAATTAGGTACTCTCTAATAAACAAGCGTGAGTACAAATTCAAACCCTTTTCAACACACAATAATACACGAATAAAAATATCATTTTACGTAATTTTCAGAAAACTTACTCAGAAATCATACATATTGAAGGTGTAATTGTCTGTTTCGAAAATGTTGAAAATAAGACAAAATTAAATAAAAGGAAATTTCTTTCATTAGAATGTGTTTTCGTATTGAATTTTTCGAATCGAATCTATTCAAACGTACATACGTAATATAATAAAGTAAAGTATTGTTTATAATTATAACGAGACAAATACATAAAATAAAAAATAAGTTATATATATTAGTATACATTACAGTCATATACAGGTTCATGAAAGGCAGTTGAAAAAATTTACGAAGGAACATAGTGTAAAATTACTATGCCTGGTGTGTGGACAATGTAGTATCCAAACAGTTTTTGTTAAGTAGAGATGTAAATTAAGTACTTTAGATATTTCATTTGTATATGGCCCAATACGCCATAACTATACATCAGTCAGGAATAAGCTAAGGTGATTTGTAATTCTTATAAATAAACGTTTAAATCAGTAGGAATGATTTGGAATAAATTGGAGTAGACGATTGATATTAAACGACGCGCGGGATGTTTCGTTGACCCATTGAAAAACTTAATTGATGGAAGCCAATATATATCACGATGATATTAAGTCACACGTTATAATCACATATCATAGTCTGGAAGGCTGCAGTTTATTGATACTGCTCGCTTGAGCTGCGGACGAAATCATCGTGGATGAATGATTTGCCTCTATTTCTTTTCTTCTTTTCTTTATTGCTTCGGCAATAGACTTTGCATAGCACCACGCCAATGCTACGGTGCAAGCCTAAAACAAGTACATAGAAAAACTGTTGAGTGAGATATCATTGTTATGCCCTTATTCGCAGAGAATAATTGTAGATGAATAATGTGAGGATTAAGTGTAGAACGAGACACACTTTGCACGATCAATAGTGAGCAAACACTCTACAGCAGATAATGCAGATAATGAACAACGAGATTCAAGCTAATGGCGATCACGTGACGATGATTTGCCGTTTGCTCTATTTCCGTTCTAAACTAAATTCTCTCAATGCAATGACATCTTTGATCAAGGAAAAATAACAATTCAATAAGCTGACCTTTAAAATGAAGGAGCTGAGAGCTAGAAGAAAGGCGTACAGTAAAATCGACTGCGTTCGATGGATCATCGGATGGTGACAGCCTCTTTCACATTTTTTCTTCTCGTCTTCCGACTCATGGAGCTCATAACAACACGACCATGGAACGTGTTTGTGTTTTTGTCTGAAATCTTCGCTAGCTCCATTCACGCCACAGCAGTTCAACTTGAATGATGTGTACAAGCGTCGTTAGCAACTTATTAAATTTGAAAATTTATATGTAACCTTTTCTTCGGGCATGTGCTTAGACTATTTTTCAAACTAAATCCAATCGACAACGAATCGTATAAATTTATCTCGGTTACATCAAAGGTTGCATCATTTGATATTTTCATAACGCAGTAAATGGATCTCTTTCTCCTTATGCTAATTTGCTTTATTATTCGAAGGATTCTTCGCTATTCGTTTGTGTAATCATTGAGTTTACTGACAATTTTTATTTCCAATTAATTTTAATTGAAATGCATCGCCGCATATTGTAAAAAAGGATTATAAGGTCCGTTCAATAATTTCTAGGTAAACGATGCGAATGCATTTTTTATTTTATGGCTAGATATTTGTACGACTTTGTGAATGAGCAGCAGTTATTCCAGTAATGATTATTCAAAATTATAGAGAAATATATTATGAATACTTACTTTTACGTGCATTTTATGCCATAAATCGTCGCTCCTCGGATCATTCAAAGTAACAATAGCCTTTTGTACAACATTTTCGGGTAAAGCATAAATTTGTTGGTGGCGCACCAGTGCCCAGATGCCGATGCTGATTTCCACTATCGCAATAGCTGCGATTAAGGTTGCTAACTGTGAGCGATATGACAGACATTAATAGACCGAAATACTGTTAACGTCAAAGGAAAACCATCATCAAAGCTAATTTACGAGTACGAATAACAGTTTTACGTGTGAAGATTGGCGTAGTGAAAGAAAACTCTACAGAGAAAAGAAACATCGGAGTAGCCGAGATTGAAATGGAAAAATATAAACTCAAATTCTGATATTGGCTTTCCGTGTGAACAGTAACAATGAAATTGCCCAGAGATTATATACCATTAGAAAATAGATAGTCAAATATACTTTACCGATATGATCTGTGCTTTGGCACTATAGTCAAAGTGCCAAACGAACCAAGCCACGGCACACGTGAGGATTCCCAGACCGAGCATGATTCCGGGCGGTCCATCCACATTTGAAGGGGTAAGTAGCGAGTATTCGTGCAGTTGGTACAAGAAAATAGAAGATCCTGCGACGACGATCGCTCCTGAAAACTGATCGAGCAAGTTGGCGCAAGTTTTCGCGGTTCCTCGGCCGGATGAGCGCGCAGTGCAGTAACGTAAAGTATCGCAAAGCAAGCAAGGTGAAAGTCAAAGGAAAGATCCGATCGTCTGCGGGCGTCGATAAGACCAATGGCGCGTACGCCAGACACTAGACCAATAGACGCCAAGGTGGACTGTCAGCGGAGCGAGCGAGCGTGCGTGGACGGAAGTGAAGCGCAGCCACAGTGTAGCTGGCTGGAAAGCTTTCGAAGAAAACGAGCGACGGCAACATTGCGACGATGAGCGTGTGCCAGAGAGGCGCTCGAAAAAGAACGGAGCGATCGGCGAACTTTACATCGCGTTCCACTTATAGAAACGTTGCGAGGCGCAACGCGCGCACGCCTAGCAGTTTTTGTCGCGCCTAAGCCCGGCTGCCTGCGGAATGCAGAGTGAAGCGAGCTGCCACGGGCACCGTCGACGCGCGAGGTAAAGAGCAAGGAAGAAGCGGTGCAGCAAAGTGCTGCTGGGCACGGCGTTCAAAATGGAGTTGTGGCTAGATAGAGGTGCGTTAGATCGGTTGGAAGGTACTCACGCCGACGATGACGACGAATCCAAGCAGGAACCCGCGGAGGCACGAGAGCATCCGTGCCATGATCGAAAACGGTGCTCCTGTCACTGGGCTGCGCGTGCCCTCGCGCACTCTCGTTCTCTCTCTCTCTCTCTCTCTCTCTCTCTCTCTCTCTCTCTCTCTCTCTTTTGGCCGAGGCAAGAGAGAGAGAGAGAGAGAGGGAGAGAGACGGCAAGCCAAGCTAGCTGAGTATAGGTATAGCGTCAGAGCGGCGACTACGCAGCGAGCGAGAGCGCGACCTGTAGTGCTCGGAGCGCGTCTCCAATTTTCGAGTCCGCTCACCTATACTAGCTGCCGTGGTCGCCGCTTGCCCGCGTCGAACGACGCGGTATGCAGCTACGTGTTCACCGCGGTTCTCCTGTTCCTCACGAGTGCAATACTGCCGTCGATCAGTCTCGCTCAAGTGCTGCACCGGGCGTAGCCGCGTCTGCCCCGGCTCCCAGTGCTCGCTTCACTGCCGCTCGCTCCCACAGCCATGTGTTTTCCAAATTTGACCCCGTACCCACTTCCACATCCTTTGAGTCCCTCTTTTTTTGTCGGACCGCAGATGTTACCGAGTTCGGCTTTTTATTTCTATCTCTTCTTGTGTCGCTGTTCACTCGCGTGTTTCTCCGCTTTGTATTAATCAACTCCAACGTATCGGCGAGTCGAAAAAAGTCTTTCTCTCGTAATTTTTCGCAGCGCAACTTCTTTTATTTGTATACATATAACCTATGTTGCCTAGCTTTCATTTTCATCGCAAGATTTTTATTGCAACGAATCGCGCTTCATTCAGATGCTCAAGTATGATCTGTTTGTTTTATTCCGACTGAATAATTTCATTTCTATTCTTTAATTTCAAGCTATTTGTGCACTCGCGGAATCGAATATTGCGCGTAATCATTATTGTATCAATTCAATGAGATTTTACAACGTTTTAAATATTAAGCTGGATTTTATAAAATTCCCTTTTTCATAAATTTTTCTTCAAACGTTTCATTATAATGCCAACTTGGAAATAATCAAAATTTGGTATGTCAATTACGGAAGCGATAAGCGCCTATCAATGCCTTCAATGGCTATAATAAATACATGGCCTGTTTCAGCAGGAATCTACCACTAACACGAATCTTTCAAATGAATTTTCCTTGATATTTCATTTGAATAAACGCGATCGTTAATACATAAATTAATCATAATATTTACACTCCCTTTCGTATACATCACAAAATAGGAGCAAACACTTACACTTATCCAATCTGTAACATTTGGCTAAATAGTTATATATGTTATACAGTTATATATGTTAAAGCGGTTAATTATTAAAACGAAAAACCAAAATCTTGTCGTATATAAACTGTATACCTGACTAGTGGAGAAATCTCGATTCTGTAGCTTTATATTTGTTAGTTCTTGCCGAAACTTCTTAAGTCATTTTTCTGAATCAAAAGCATAACATTTCGTCTATTCGGTTAATATTGGGAACGCTAATTAAAACTAAATAAACAACCTAATTTTTAAATAGCCGTTTTAATATTGGTTATTCTATTATGTACAGAATCGAACTAGAACGCCTGAGTTTGATTGCAATTCAAAAAGCCTGAAACGATATATTTATTGTAATTAATTAAATCGCAATAACTCTATGTGAAAAAAAAATATTTGCAAAGATTTATTGTATCTCTTACATATCCATTCAGATATGTAAAGTTGAATTTAAAATTAGCCCTCGATTAAAATGAATAATTTACTTATTGTAAAGACGTGATAGTAAGAAAATTTGTTTTGATAGATACAAGTATATTAATATGCATTTTATATGTATTAAATTTACGTAATTTATTATACTGCTTTGGTTTATCACGTTTAATATTCATTAATTTGCTTTAATTAAGTTGTAAAATTTATTTATTCATATTCCTAAACGATATGCTTCTTTCTAGTGCTTTTCTTTTTACAGTTATAACCGGAGTTCATTGTTTGTGATTATCATACTAAAGATTTCTGTGTGGTCTGAAAAGACCATGTGCATTTATTTTTATTTTACCAATTAATATTAAGTAATTAATTCATTTTTACGACTTCGTGCATGTCTAGTCTCAAAACTGTCCAACGTCCGATCAGTTCTCTTGTAAAAAGTTCCTTAAACATATTTTGTTTTGTAAAAGAATTTTCAAAAAGAGAGAGTGTTTTATTTATCATATTAATTAAGATCACTATTTTTGTTTCATATACGTTCAAAGTCATCATAAATATGCCTATATTACGCAACATCAAATATTTTTTCAGTTTTTCGAATAATGTAGCTACAGAACTTTTTTTCCCTCCACTAGTCCACTAGCGTATATAGTATTTAGCACTTGTGACTTGGCAGATCTTTTCTAAGTTTATTTGTAAGTTTATGCCTCTCACACGTTTTTCATATTCCATGGTATAGCAATATAAACAAAAAAGCAGACCAGCCGAAAGGGCAGACTATCTGCTCAAAACATTTTTGTTAATATGTAATTGTGTTCAATGATAAAATAATTAATTAACCGGTGTTAAAAGCTATTTTATTACATTATTTGTACTGTCTTAGTAATTTGAAGTTTGTCTAAAAATGTATCAAGACTCATCCTATTCGGCACTTTATAGTCAAGAAGATTTTGATATGGATGATGAAAACGATGATTATTTGGAAGATGATCGAGATCTTGACGATCAAGATGAAAGCGATGAAGGTAAAAATAATTTATATCAAAACATTTAATTCGTTTCTACTATTTTTCACTTTTAGATACAGAAGAGGCTAGTGAAACTGACATGGGCAAGTCAGAAAAATACACAGAAATTAAAGAACAGTAAGTAATCATACTTATGAATTTTTGAACATCAGCAATAAATTGAGTGTACATGCATGTACTTTTATAGAATCTACCAAGATAAACTTTCAAGTTATAAGAAGCAATTACAACAATTAAAAGATGGTACACATCCTGAATATAATCGCAAAGTTAAGCGTTTAGAAGCACAGTACAGAGAACGTCTGCGCTTGAATATTATTTACAAAGATTACTTGACTGAATGTGTAGAAAGAGATTATATATTGGATAAAAAAGCAGCAGTAAAAGAATTTGAAGAAAAGAAAAGTGATTTAAAAGAAAATCTTATAGCTGATATAGAAGAAAAGCGTAAGCTTATAGAATCAGATCGCTATTCAATGGAATTAACTGGAGATTCAACTGAGGTTCATTTATTATATAATTAAAAAAACTTTTTCTGACTTTATTTGAAATATTCTACTGTTTTTTAGGTAAAACCTGTAATGACAAGAAAATTGCGTCGTAGGCCAAATGATCCAGTTCCTGAAAAAGTTGAAAAACGACGAAAGCCACCTCCAGCGCAATTAAATTATTTACTTGATGAAAAAGAAATTGAAAATGATTTGAAAGCTATTAGTAGAGGAAAAGTATTAACAACAGTTAGAAAATCAGGTATTTTTATTGTGTTTCATTACAATAAATAATAAAGTATGTTATTCCATCCATAATTGAATATTCTTTATAAAAATGCAGTTGTTATGCAACATTATACTACAGCAAATATTGGGAATCAGCACATTTCTATTCCTAATGACACAGCTTTGGTGGAAACAAGAATAGAAGATGGGAAGTTACTATATGAAAGAAGATGGTATTTATATTTCCAATAAATTGTTATTTATTATAAATTATAAACTTTAATAATACTATAAAATATTACCAAGGTTTCATCGTGGACAGCCAGTTTATGTAGAAGGAAAAGATATAGTGAGATTTGCAGCAAATATATCTGCTATTGGGACGGAGGCTGTGAGTATCCCTATGCATGATAATAAAGCTTGATTTTATATTAATATCTGTGATTTACAACCTTTTGCTCATTTTGCAGATTTGGGTGAAAAAAGTTTCAGATAATACGAAAGTTCGCATTTATGTAACTCAGTTATCTCGTGGCAAAATGTTTTTGAAACGTAGAGCGTCTTAATTCCAAAGTGACCTTCGACTTTTAGTAAAAAAATAATATTATTTTTAATTATAAGAAATGATATGTAAGTAGTTAATTTAATATGTATCAATAGTTTTGATAATGGTATATTAAGCAAAAATAATCCTACTTATGTATGTTTAAAAAAAAATGAATCAATATATTTCATAAACTTTGTTTTCATTTTCAACTAATTATAAATTGAATAATTATATATTGAAAAAAATGATATAAATAAAGTAGATATTATTTAGTAAGTATGTATTTATTTTAAAAATCTATACTTAATGCGCATCATATTGCTCACAAATTTCCAAAGTTTACATTAAATGCGATTTTGCCTAGTTATGATAAGAACATACATCATATAAATTTATTTATTGAGCGCCCTACAATTTATATTTTACCGAAATCAACTATCTGCTCGCTATCTAATTTTGAAAGTAATTTTACTGCATACTTTTTCATCATTCACGTCTCCAGTGTGATTCGGAGTTTGAATTGGCTTGGCTGAGAATAGCTGTGATTTTTCAAATTTTGAAAAATTAGGTTTCTTCAATATGGCAGATGAGAGTTTAGCATCATTTATAGATACATTGCTGTAATATATAACGAAAGACTTAAGTTAATCGTTCTTCACTTTGTATTATTTGTGCTTTTAGCCGTTTTATATACACGGAGCAATGAGAGTGGTAGTTCAGAAGCCGGTAATTGTAACGCAGACCACATCTTGAGTAGCAACAATTATTACCTAGGCTTTTCCCAACCATCGTTGTAGACCTATTCTGTATTATTTTGTTCTCTTACTTTTACTGATTTATTTCATAACTATTCAATCTATAATTGTTTTCCTGCCTTTTAGAAACTTAGAATTTTCAAAACTTGGATAATTTATGCTGCAAAAAGGGTGAGATATAAGACTCATTGGACTCATTGGACTCATTGGAGTTTTCGGTTGAGTTTAATGTGTATTAAAAAAACTAACTTTGCGGACAACTCAATATCTTTATGCGCGGCAGGCGTAGGTTTATATCTAATTGAAGATTGCGAAGTTTGATTTTGGAGGCCCTAGCAAATATTCGACAAATCAATATAGAGCCAATAGAATAAATCTTATTGAATTTGCTTTGAGTCGAAGAGGGGATTTGAAAGTTATGTTAAAATAGTTTTGGACAAAAGGATGAAACTACATTCTAATAATATCACAATAGTAAATGTAGTAGCAAAGAGGGATCAATTCTTAGGGGGCCGGTACCCTTACATCCCGAAATACAAAGTGTACAGGGTAATTAGCAGAGTAAATCTCAACGTCGAGAACGAAGTTGAGAAGTCGAGTTGTGCAAAATCTTTATTTTTCTTTTTTATTTAGCGTTTCAAACCAAATAAAGTTTATTTATGTTTTATAAATACAAAAATATAAATTAGTATATGTATAAATTAGCAGTTACTAATTAATTTAATAGATTTTTCTTTTTCAAACTTTCAAGTTACATAGTTTAAGGAAATCGAGTATATGCATTGATATTCTTCTATACGCGGCTTTGTGATTAACATTTCTATGCATATTGTAATGACGTGCCTTAAACTATCGATAAATACAATCAAGTAACTTTTAAATTTATACTCTGTTTTGAGTCAACACTTTGGCGCTGTAACTCGGGTATAGTTAGTAATTGTGTGCACGATATTTGAGAAAATAAAAGTGTAAGCTTTACAATACTTTTGAACTACATTAAATAGAAATTTTTCTGTATTATAATAAGCAGTAAGTATTTTTGCAATTCTGGGTTAAATTAAAACAAATTATTATGCCTGTTATACTAATTACCAGTAATAATATATTAATAATTCAAACAAATTGGAAGAAATGAACGAGAATAATAATGATTTGTGAAGGGGGATTTCGGGGGGCGTAGGCCTCACCAGCTAAAATCGCCAACACTAATTTCCGTTGGACGTGATCTTCCGAACTTGGTAGCAGGGCGTCAGGTCACCGCCCTTACCTACAGTGATCGTTGGAAAATCGTGTCAACGGCGAATTCGTCGGTAGAATTGCCCGCCGTGCGACTGCGCAGAGCGGGCGATGAAATTTCAAGATTTCAAAACTGTTCGAACCTTAAAAAAAATCACTTAGAGTTCCGACGATGTTTGTCCTGACATTCTCGTTCAAATCAATCCTTTATCCAATATCCTGCTTCCAGCAGAATCACAGAAGGTGTCCGGTCGACTAGCTCTCACTCCTTTGTCTCAGGTCGTGTTTCGTCGAATCGTACGTTTCGTTACCGTAATAGAGAAAAACAATTCAAATTTCACTTATAATATCCCGTCCGCGGCTGAAAATAATTGGCAGAGGGAAAATGTCGGGATTTAGGTGAAATTACCGGAACGCAATATCAAGTTACTTCATTTATTTGTAAGGCCATACATCGCGCACTGAAATGGCGGAAGGTCAACGCGCTTCGGTCAGAACTCGCAATCGCGACCGCGACGGATCCACGCGCCTCGGCGAATTACGGTCTACTCCTATCCTAGCGCCCTAATTATTCGCGAAGGTCAGTCACACTTCAATCACTTACTTGGAATTAATGCGGCGATAAATCCTTCAAAAAGAAAAGAAATATGCTAGGTTGCTCTCACTATCTTACGCTCGGAACTGTCCTTGGCGAGATCCAGTGGCAAAATGGAAGAGAAACGGTTCTCCGCGGTCAAAGATCTCTCATTCTCTCCTCTTTCCGAGAAGAAAAACTATTATTGGCCGATATGCAAATTCGGATATCGGTAGCGCCCTCCGAGTGTGTCGTTATTGGTCAATATATAAATTAAGAAGGTAACAGCGCCCCTCGTCTTATCTATTACGCATCAATTTTTACCCTCTCTCACCCCCCACTAGGTCGGTCAGCATTTAATCTAAGAGAGAGATTCATCCCTACTCTTGTCGGAATTTTGATGAGGACGGAAATCAAATATTCTAATGATTTGCCTATTGGTCGTGACGTCATCAACAAATTTCGTCCGAGTTTCAAATTTCATCGGCTAGCTATTAATTTCAATAAATACGCGGCTTATCGCTTTCAAGTATATATAAGAGTTTGCGAGATTACATACATTATTTAATCCGTAAGATATGGTTCAATTATAATTAATACATTTAATTTAAGTCAGTTCTAAATTTAAAACAAGTTTCAAATCGCCTTACATTTAATTACAATTAATTCGCATACGCGTACAAAAAAAATCGTAATTTTGAGTCAACTATAGGCGCGCCTTTAGTAATCTATCTATCTCGCTCTCTCTTCCCCTTAATTAGTCTATCTCGCTCGCACTCCCGCTTAGTCTACCGCGCTGCCGCTCTATCTAGCTTAGCGTTCTAAGATGGCCGCCTACTCTCTAACGCGTGCACCTCGTATCTCGGTGCCGGTAGTCGTAGCGCCTCCTGGAGCGCTCCGTTTTTCGGTCGTGTGCGGTTTCGGAGTGTTGTGTGTGAGTGTCGGCAGTAGTTCATATCCAGTGTGTGTGTGGCGTTCAGGATGTCGTCGATGGTGCGCAGCAGCCCGACTCAGCTGATTGCCGGCTGCCGCTTCATCGGCGATTTTCTGTTCGCCCCAGGAATGTCAGCGTGCTCCGGGTGTCAGTGTCAGTGTCTGGAAGTGTAACGGGTCAGTACGTGTCGTTACGTGCATCTCCGCTGCACTTTTCAGTCAGGTTTTCTTGTTTTTTTCTTGCCCGCCGGCAGCACGTGGTCAGGAGTGTGTGTATGTGTTCTCTCTCTCGTGCGCTCTTTTTTTTTTTTTTCATCCGTCGGATCGCGACAGCTCGTCTGTTTTTCTTGTTTATTTAGTTGTGGTTGGCATGTAAGGGAAAATATGATTTTCGCATTAGGCGCGTTAATATTACGAATTTTCCAGCTGGTTACGGGGCGGCAAGGGACAGGGATGGCCTTTTCTGAGGTGTTGCAAATAGCGCAACACTCTCTGAAAAGGCCTTGTAATGCACCGCATTACAGAACCCCCCACTAAGCCGGTACACTACCAGGTGTACCGTCCGTTTGCCGTTTCCCTTGTTCTCGCCGCCACGTTCTCAGCTTACCCCGTATGTCTGGATCTTACCTGTTGGGGTTTCCCCCCTTGGTACCATGGTCTGCTATCATTGGACGCCTGGTCGAATTGGTTTGCTTGGCTGCATCCTTTCGTTGATGTCACTAGATTTTACGAGCTATTGGTTGGTCAGAAAGGTCAGGTCTTTAAATAAATGGCCGGTCGGATATGTTAAGCCAGGGTATAACCCTGGCATTTATTTTGGTCAGGTCTCCATATTTTTTTTTTTTTTTTTTTTTTTTTTTTAAGTCAGTGATGTCCGCGCCTGCGGGAGCGGTCGCGCCACTCCCTCTCTTCCAGTTCCTGGAGGGCGCGTTGGAGTTGTTGTAGCTCCCTCAGGCGCAGGTCAGCGTCGGCCTCATCGTCTGACGCCCGGTTCCTGGGCCTCCGCACCAGTTCTCTCGCTCGTTCCTCCGCCGATGGCCTGGCCGATGAGGTAGGGAGTCTGGTGCGGGGTATCGCCCCGGTGCTGGAGGTCGGTCGTCTGGTCGGTGATCGACCCCGAGTGGCTTCCTGGTAGGAGGGTGGTGATTCTTCCAGGTCTCGGGGTCGACCGGTCAGTGGTCGATTGTCAGCGTGGTCGGTGTTTCGGTTGGGGTCTCGGTTAGCGTGTTGTTCCGTATAGTGGTCCGGTGGTCGTCTATCCCATCCGGACCCGGACGAGGTGGATGGTATTATGCCCTCGTCCGCCCACCCCCTCCGGCCGCTAGGCGGGTGTGGATGCCTCGGTGGAGTAGCTGGTGGATCCACCGGATTGTTCCCGCCCGAAGGTGTGTGCCTCCGCTCATAAGCCTTGGCACACCTCGGGCAGTTGAACACATCCACACCCCTGCGACCACAATTCCCGCAGAACTGCCCATCTTTAGGCTTTGGGCAGTTCCCGAAATTGTGGTCCAGTTGCCAGCAGTTGAAGCAGGCACGGAGTGGTGGGTCAACTGTGGGGTCCGTCGGAATCTCCGTCAGATGTCCGAAGCCTGCCCCTGTTCGACGAGGCAGGCTGCCCCAGGATGGCATTTTGGCGGTGGTC